CAAAGCTTGAAATAGGGAGACTAGAAGAGGACATTAAGTTTGAAACTGGAGGCTGAAAGCAGATGACAAGTGGTCAAGAACTACACAGACCCAAAAGGTGCCATGCATGGTGTAGAGAGGTAGCTAAAAGTGGATTCACTCCAAGGTTCCAGGGGTCCCTGGCTGGGGAGGTGGGGACCTCAGGAGGAGGGACTGCAGGTCTCTGGGGCCCATTTAACACAGCCAGGAAGTGTCCATTAGCCCAGTATGAGAGGAGGCTTGTTCTTAGGTAACTGTGGGTGCAGGCAGACTATGGATGTAGGTAGAATATGGTTATGGGTGGATGAAGGGTGCAGATGGGCTGTGGGGTACTGATGGACCGTGGATGCAGATGACTTGTGGATATCAGAGGCTCCTGAGCCTGGACCCTGCATGCCAGCCAGGACTCCCTGGTCCTGAAGGAAGAGGGAGCCCAAGGGAGGGTCTGAGAGCAGATAAAAGCATTTGAATGGCAGCCCTGTGAGCAGTAGTGAAGTTCAGCCCTGATAAGGGAGCCTCCAACAAGAAGATGGGACCAAGCAGAGGCCTACAAAGGTGTGGGTCATCCAGAAGTCCACAGAACACCCAGCATTGCTGAGACAAGGATAGGACGCCATCAGAGAATTAAAAATACAGTTCTGAGAGCCAAAAAGAGCTCTTAGCAAAATACAAACACAAACTATGGAAAGGAAAATGAAAACAAAACAACAGTATAGCAATTGGAAGGTAAGTAAGAGGTAACCTTGGGAAGACAGGGCAAAAAGGTCCAAAGCCCTGGCATCCAGGAAGGAGGACAAAAAGAGGAGAGTCAACAGACAAAGACAAGAACACCAGCATGTGCATGGTGTGGACTGGACACAGTCCCACAGTTTCCCTGGGTACCACTGGATGGAGATGCTGAGTACCCAGGCGACCACTGCTCAGACTTCAGCATTCCAGGGACAAAGAGAAGATTCCATATGACAAGGAGTCATGTGGCTGCAGGTACCAGCAGTCAGGAAGCCAGAGGGAACATGGAATGATTTCCTATACCCATCAAAGCAGGAGAGACATCACACTAGTACACTGCTCAAACATTACAGGGAAAGTGGTCTTGCTCTCTACAGTGACATGAGCCTAGGCTAGAAGGAAGGAGCAGAGGCTGAGTGAGGCACGCAGCCCAGAGGGTCAGACTGCCAAGTAGGAGGATGAGAAAACTCGAGACTTTCCAGACTGAGGGCCCTGTGATGTTCCACACCCTCAATTCCAAATGGTGAGGCCCTGTTCTGAATGTGCTGAGGCTGCACTTGCACTGAACAGGGATGAGGCACAGCACTGCAGGAGGGGGCCTCATCTTCTGGAGCAGAGGCCAGATGAGAACGGCAAAGCCTGAGTTCTCAGGTGGTGGTATCAGTCCATACTCTAGGACACAGAGATTAGCATTCAAGAAGCCACCAACAAGGCTGGGGGTACTGGTGGGGGCCACTGGTTCTTGTTCGCAAAACCACAAGCGTCCAGAGTCTCATGTGCTAAGGTGGAGCTAGTGGAGCTGGCTAGACCACTGGAGTTTTTAAACCAGGGATGGGCATAAAACTCTGACAGAAAAAAGAGTTTGAAAACCCCTAGCCCCGAGTCCTCCTGTGTTCTCTAGGAAACTCAGGTGCAGACAACAGGAGATTCCAACTCCAAGATGCCAGCCCTCCTGAGCTTTGTTAGCACGTGTCACCCTACAGTCTCACTGTCCTGGTGGGCGCACTGGTGTGGACCCACTTACCCTCGATACCCATCCACCATTTATTTACCACAGGGCATGAAGGTCTCAGAGCCAAGTCCAATCCTGTAGGCCCACAATAGCCCATGACCTCCACAGAAGGGTTTCACAGATCTGACACCTCTCTCCACAGTTCCTGTGGAGGATCACAGGACGAAGGTTGACAGGTCACGTTTGAAAGCCCATCTACTGCCACATGTTGAAGAACAACCTTGGCTATTCCAGTGGCCTAAGGTGGCCTGGTATAGGCCCACAGGGAACAGCAGTGGCCTTGACAGCTGGCCATCCTGTACAGGGCTTGGCATACAGGGATGAGGCATGGAAGCTACACATGGTAAACACACACCAGTGTCCCACCACACATTGTGCTGGGTGGGTCAATAGCTTTTATTTCTCAGAGCAAAGCCTCTGCTCTTTCCTAGAGCCAGCCTGTACCCTCCTCCCCTCCTGGTCCCTGGTGATTTCTTGGGATCTGGGGATTGAGCTCCACTGTCAGTGTCCTCCCCTGACTGTTACTATTATTTTGATGGTACTAGGGTTTCAACTTGGGGCTTCACTCTTGCTAGACAGGCATTCCACCACTTGTACCGTGCCTCTGGCACTTTTTTGCTCTGGTTATTTTAGAGATAGGGTTTCACTTTTTGCCCAGTCCAGCTGGGACTGTGATCTTCTTATTTTATACTACCTGCCATCACTGGCGTGACAGGTATGCTCCAGCTATTGGTTGAGAAGGGGGTCTTGCTAATTTTTTGCCCGGGATGGCCTCAAACCATTGTCCCCCTGATCTCAGCTTCCCAAGCAGCAGGGATTACAGGCATGAGCAACTGGCACCTGGCTATGGTTTGTTATTATTGACAATACATATTAATAGTACATATTAAATACATATTAATAGTACATATTAAATACATATTAATAGTACATATTAAAAGTACATGGTTTCTAAGGCACCAGGCACTCCACCCTAGGGACATTGGCCATTTACCCTTCTCCTGAGTCCTGGCTGCTGTGGAACCAGCCCCAGAAGAAGCTTCTGTTATTCTTGTTGCCTGTGGGGGAGAGGCTTCACCAAAGACTCCAGGACATTCTGTTTGTTGCCTGCCTGGATCCTAGGCCTCCCAGGATCACCTGAGCAATGGAAGACCTGAATGTGCTGTGAACAGGTTTGGGTGGGAGTCAGAAAGTCTGAAGAGTCACTGTGGCTGTTAGGTGAACTGCTCAGTGAGACTAAAACTCCTTCAGGGGATCCCTTATGAGGCATTCCCTTGCAGGTTTTCAGGGCAGAAGTGGTTTGCAGGCAGGGTGGAAGAGGTGAGCAACTTCAACTCTCACTAAGACACAGAGGTGCTGCAGGAAGGAGCTAGTGGACATGACCTTCCCAGTGCCTGTGACAGTGGCTCTCTAACTTGTGCCAGAATCTGTGTGGCAGGCAGGGCTGGCCAGGGAAAGGGTTAAGTTTAATTTATCCTGATTTCTACTTAATATCATGCTCTCCCCGTAGGAGCGGCAGCTGTGAGCTGATTGCGCGCTCTCATTATGCAGTCTGTATCACTAATGGCCTGTGACGAAGGCTTGCCGGCTTCCAGACCTCACCCCCGAGAGCCAATTAAGCACGCACTCCCTTCCTGTTTGCAGCAGATTACAATGAAACTAAACTGAATCTCAAAATCATTGTCTCCTGAAGACATCTCTCTGCAATAATTAATGCATGCGACTCCAGTTCTGCAGAGGGGCCCATCAGGAGAGCCCACTGCCCATGTGGTGCCCATGCCACCCGGGGAATCTGTGAGCCCTGGCATCGACAAAACCCTAAGGGCTCAGTTCCTGTGCTTTTAAAGGGGAAAATGGCAGCTTTCTATCCAAACTAAGAAACCATAAAGCAAGTCAAGTTTCCAGTGCAGACTACTTAAAGTGTTGGAGGGAACCAACTAAAAGAAAGATTTGCTCAAAAGTAGTATTTTTCTTTTCTCCTTCTTCTTCTTCTTTTTTTTTTTTTTTTTACTGAGGTTTTCAACTCAAGGCCTCCCACTTGCTAACTTGCTAGGCAGGAGCTCTGCCACTTGAACCACTCTGCCAGCCCAGCAGTGTTTCTCAACTCTTGCACTCTGAGGGACATTATCACCACTGGAGCTAGCATCACATGGGATATTTAAGGAGGGTTCATATGCTAGCCACACCACACCCTTCACAGGCTGAGGGGACACAAGCATGTCACCTGGGCAACTTGGGTCCTCAGCCCCAACCCTGTGACAACCCAGCATTGTACCTGCAGGATGTGCTGGGGCACTGCCTCTACTCTGGGGCTCTGCAAACCTTCAAGGCCCCACATGCCTGCCGTGTGGCCCCCTCTGCCTGGCACAGACTGACCACCTTTGCTCACCTGTTCTGTTTCTTTGTGGGTAGGTGGGGGTGGCTTCTACCCACAGAGCCTGGGTACTCTTGACTTTAGGAATAGAAGAGGAGGAGGGCAAGTGAGGGGCTTTGGGGCCACAGGAGGATGGGTGGTAAGCCAGGACTAGCCATCTGGCCCCCACTGCCTCAAGGTGGGGGAGGCAGAATGGAGCTGCCTAGTATCCCAAACTCCTCATAGGGAGGACCTTCTGTCCACCTCTTCATCTCCAAGTCTTCTCTCGGCAGGCACACAAACTCTGGATAGTCAGGTCCCCAGGACACTGAGGGTATAGGCCTTCACTTGGCAACTTTAGCCTTCTGGTGGGCTGGATAGATGACCCCACACCTACAGATCACACTGGTCTAAGCTGGCTGGGACTAGATGTTTCCAGGGCTTCTTGGAGCCATAGGCTGAGGGCCATATTTGGTGAGGCCACAGGCTGCCCCCTTCCTTATCTCTCCTCTCTACCCCCAGATGCACCACAATGTGGGCAGAAGAGGTCCTGGCCCTGAGGTGCAGCAGGACCACCAAGAAGAAGTGTGTGGCACTAGCAGAACTGCAGCAGAGTGACCAGTGTCCTTCTGGCCAGAAGGACAACAAAAGAGCTGTCTTGTGTTGGGGGCCCCAGGCTCCTCCTGAGGATGGTGGGCCAATGGGTTCTCCTAGTAGTCAGTGGGAGGCTGGGGCACTCAGTGGGTGTCAAAATAGTAACCTCCAACTCACTTCTGCCTTCAGTGGAAGATTCTGGAATCCCCAGGCTCAGAGGCACAAACACAAGATTAGACCCAGAATGGCAGCCAGCCCTGCATGCCCAACTGCCCCTGCAGAGCTGGGTCTTACCTGTTTTAAACCAGCCATCTGAGGTGAAGGCATTCCTAGTTTCTTCTGGTTTATCCCAATATTCTCGAAACACAGAGGGCCCCCTGACCAGCAGTTCGCCTTCCTTTTCTTCAAACCCTGGGGTCACCTGCAGAAGATGGAGGGACATGCAGGTCAGCAGGGCATGTGCCTTCTAGCACTGGGGTCTTCACTGCCCCATGATGCTCTCACACACCGCTTTCCACCAATCTCGTGGATCAAATGCTTTGAGATCAGACACTGGTGGAAGTGTTTGAATAGAGGAACTCAATCATACCAGAGCCAAGTGCTCCTCCTCCGTCCTTTGGCCCAGCCCCAGGCTACATCATCTCATTAGTCCCCAGACAGCCATGGAAAGAAGGTGCCTTATCCTCATGCTCCAGCCTGAAGATAGTACTGGCCCAGCACCCAGAGCAAGCACATGAGGTGGAGGTGAGCACTTGTCCACCTCCAGGTGCCCAGTCCCCACTTCAGTGTGCCTCTCATGCAAACCGTAATAGTGGCCCAGGGCTCTCGGGGCAGCTGGGAGGGGGCAGCACCCATTAGGCCTTCTGGTTTTTCTTAGCGACCCACCAAAACGGACTCCTGGTGTGGTCACTCTGGCACTCCTAGATGCTTTATCTCTTTGTCACATGGCCCTCTTCCTGTTTGTGGCGAGGCTTTGTGAATGAGCCTGCTGCATTCTCGCACGTGGGTCACATGAGGTCTGCACAGAGCTACATGCAGGATGAACCGTGGGAAATGTGTGGGTGACCATGTCACTGGCCTTATGTACTTGCTGTTATACTTCCAGTCACATCTTAGAGCATACTCCTTCTACTTCTTTACAAACAAAGCTGTCAGGCAGCTTCAGGCAGCAACAAGAGGACAGCATTGTCACAGGAGGTGAAAGCTGTATTTGTGTGACTGCCCGGTGACCCTGACAACCACAGTAATATGCGTCTTTCTTTCTTTTCAGTCCTAGGGTTTGAACTTAGAGCAACTGCCTAGCAAACACTGCAGCCCTTTTTTGCTTTAGTTGTTTTTCAGATACGGCCTTGTGTTTTTGCCTATGCTGGCTTCAGGCAGTGATCCTTCTACCCATGCTTCCCATGTAGCTGGGATGACAGGTGTGCACCACCATGCCCAGTTTTTAGGTTGAGATGGGGATCTCGCTAACTTTTTGCCCAGGCTGGCCTTGAACTGTGAACCTCCTGATTTCTGCCTCCTGAGTAGCAGGGATTATAGGCATGAGCCACCACGCCTGTCTTGGCTTTTTACAAAAAAGTTTAAAAGGTAAAAAAATAAAATAGAAAAACATTTATAAAATAAGAATATAAAGAAAAAACATTTTTACAACTGTATAATACGTTTATGTCTGAAGTTAAGTGTTATTACAAATCACAAAAGTTAAAAATTTAAAAAAGTTTATAGAGTAAAAAGTTAGAGTGAACTAAGGTTATTATTGAAATTAAAAATTTTTTTTGTAGAGCTGGGGTTTGAACTCAAGGCTTCGTGCTAAACAAGTGCTTCACTGCTTCAACAATGCCTCTAGCAAGGAGTTTTTAGTGTACATGTAATGCGCCCAAGCACCCAGTGTTTATGAAGTCTACATGGTGCCCGTCCTGTCTTGACCCTCACTCTCACTGCCTTATCCATGCAGTTTCCAGTTCTGTGAGCTTCTCTCACCGCAAGCGTGGAAGCATACAGTGCTCCCTTTAGAGTCTTTTATCCTGCATTTTTCTGTACCTTTTCTAAGTCTAGATGTGATATGTTAGCTAGAACACAAATACTTGTCCTTGTGTTACAGTTGCCTGCAGTACTCAGTGCAGGAGCATGCCGTATAGGGTTGCAGTCTGGGAACAAAACACTACCACGCATCCTAGGCACCTCAGGCTCTACCATCCAGGCTTGTCTAAGTATACTCTGTGGTGTCTGAACAACAAAACTGCCAACTGACACACTTCTCAGAACATGTTCTTGTTGTTAAGTGACATTCACTGGTCAATGACAATGGTGCACAGTGACCACGTGGGGCTTGTCATGGGAATGTAAGGCTGGTTCTGTATTAAAAGGGAATCAATGCAATTCCCTTACTGAAAGCCTAATCAAGAAAAGCCCACTGACGCAGAAAAGGCATTTAAATATATTTAATATCCACTCATGATGAATGCACTCAGCATATCACAAATGAAATGGAATATACTAAAAGCCTATAGCTAACATCGTACTTGATGAAAAACCGAGTACCTTCCCCCTAAGGTTGGAAACAACACAAGGATGTCCACTTTCATGGCTCCTATGCAATGTGGTAATGGAAGTCCTAGTCAGAGCAACAGGCAAGAAAAATAAATATAAGGCGTATAGATTGGGAAGGAAGAAACAAGATGGTCCCTATTGTAGAAAAATAATTACATATTTAGAAATTCCCACAGAAGCTACCAAAAACCAAAAAACACCTCCTAAAATGAAGTGAACTTAGCTAGGTTACTACAGGATATAAGACCCACACATAAAAAAATCAATCATGCCAGGTGCTGGTGGCTCACACCTGTAATCCTGAGGCAGAGATCAGGAGGATCGAGGTTTGAAGCCAGCCTGGGCAAATAGTTTGCAAGACCCTATCTCGAATAAAACCCATTACAAAAAAGGGCTGGTGAAGTGGCTCAAGGAGTAGACCCTCAGTTCAAGCCCCAGTACCACAAAAGAAAAATCCACTACATTTCTATACGCTGGCAATGAGTTATTAGAAACTACCAACCACTCCTCTTGCTTATAGTATTTGAAAAGAACACAAAGAAATGGAGGACGAAGAGAAAAAAGAAGAAAGATTTAGGTATAAATCTAATAAAATATGCATAGCATCTGGTTACTGAAAACAACACAAGAAAAGGCAGAGAAGACCTAAATAAATAGATACATACCATGTTTATGGATTAGAACACAGTAATCATTAATCCTCCTCTAACTGATGTATTACAATTGAACACAAGTCCAATCAAGAACCCCAAGTGACTTTTGCAGATATAGATGAACTAATTCTAAAACTGACACATGCAGTTAAAACAACCTTGAAAGTTGGTAGACATACACTGTCACTAAGAAGACCTCTTGCTTGGTCAGTCAGCCCTGTACTTAGTCTGTGTGGTGGACAGGAGGTAGGGACAGGGGTCTCCATTCAGGCAGAGCATCACTTTACACCTCAATTTTGATTTTCATACAATAAGAAATAGCACAGACACTTATTGCCAGGCAGGCTGTCTGGACTGGAGACAACCAGTTCATCAGTTGTGAGATGCAGTTTTCATATGATGCATCTCTGAAATCAGGCCGTCACCACCAATGGTGACTTGGACTACAAGAAATGTGGGTGACATGGATGCCCCGGGTTCACTCCAGCACTGACATGCCAGCTTCCTAGAAAGCAGTAGCTGCCAACTCCAAGACTCTGTGACCACAGCTTCGGTATCTACAGAGTGCAGGATTGGGTCCTCAGGAACTGACACTAGTCCCCAAGACTTCTCACTCCCCAGCTCAACCCTGCTGGCAACTCAACATAGGCTCTTCTCAGATTCCAGTAACATAGTTACCATGTCCAAGGCCACAGAGACAAACCCTCACCAAACTTAACTGATGTCAAATTGTCCCCCCGAGTCTCTGGTGTAAAGAGAGCAAGGATCAGAAATGTCACTATTTTCTTCAGGCCAAAAATAAGTTTTTTGTTTTTTTTTGGTGGGGCTGCAGTTTGAACTCAGGGCTTTGTGCTCGTGAGGCAGGTGCTCTACAGCTTAAGCCACACTTCCAGCCCTTTTTCCTCTGGTTCTCTTGGAAATAGGGTCTAGCTTTTTGCCCAGGCTTGCCTGAACCACAATCCTATTTTAAGATTCCCACTGTTGCTGGAATAACAGGCCCAGTTTTTTCTGTTGAGATGGGGGTCTCACAAACTTTTTTGTCAAGGTTGGCCTGGAACCATGATCCGCCCAATTTCGGCCTCCCACATACCTTGGGATGACAGACATTTACCACTGCACCCGGCTATTGGTTGGGATGGGGTCTCATAGAATTCTTGCCCAGGCTGGCCTGGACCTGTGATCTTCCTGACAGCAGCCTCCCAGTGCCTAGGATTGCAGACATGAGCAAATGCTGCCAGCTGACAAGGTTTTTTTTTTTTTTTTTTTTGAGGTACTGGGGCTTGAACTCAGGGTGTACACTTGAGCCACTCCACCAGCCCTTTATTGTGAAGGACTTTTTCACAATAGGGTCTCAAGGAACTATTTGTGGGCTGGTTTTGAACCATGATCCTCCTGATCTCTGCCTCCTGAGTAGCTAGCTGTTTCTAAGGGAGCTAGGTGTGCAGAGATGCAACAAGTTCATGCTAGGCCAGTGGTAGACACATCACCAGAGTGAGGCCATCTCTGGGCATAAAGGAACGAGGGCGCCTGTCCTTCACATGCACCCCAACTACTGGGTCAACATGCAGCAGCTGCCAACATAGAAGCAAACACTTCCTCACAGGAGAGCAGCCGGACTCTTATTTCCAGACTGCGTCTTCTGGCTGAGGATCTGCCATCACCAGCATAGGCCCTTTCTTCTCTGTATCAGCTGCTGTGACAACTCCTGACAAATCCACACTGAAGACCACTCTGGCTCCCCTAGGCAGAGCAGAACCCATGATGGAAGATGCCAGAATCCTGGTGGGTAGGCATGCACCAACAAGAAAGGCAGGGCAAGAAGGAGGGGTTCAAGGTACAGCCCCCAATCCTGAGGGCCCCTTGGGTCCCTCCACAGGACACTACTGTTGTATTCTTGTGAAAGGCTCAGGTGGGACGATCACAGTCTCCTGTAAGTGTTTTGCTCTGGACTTTTCCCTCCTCTCTAGTAGTTTACACCTGTGTCTAGCATCTCTGTCCTCCTTCTCCTATCCACCCCAGCCTCTGGTAACCACCAGGCTGCTCTATCCTTCTATGAGCCCAGCTTTTTGTGATTCCACGAGGCCAAGTGGTATTAGCCTTTCTGTGTCTGGCTCACCTCACTTAACATAGTGTCTTCCAGTCTCATCCATGTTGCTTTTCTCTCTCCTCCCTTTTTGAGATGGGGGGGTGTCTCACTATGTAACCCAGGCTGGCCTTG